GGCGGCTCCACCCCTTTCGGGCCGATCAGGTATGGGAAAGTTATTCGGAGTTCAAATATAACCCAGCGCCTGGCCAGCTGTTCGGCGCACAGCCTCGACTCGGAAAAGTCCACCGGGCCAGACAGGAGCAGTAACCCGACTCCCCCGAGCACCCCGAGCTCCGCCACTCCCCCTCTCTCGGCTCGGTCTCTCGCCAGGCGCGCCACACGCGAGAAGGCATGAGCGACGAAGCAGCGCCCAGAGCTTGGGGGTGAGTCGAATGGCCGGGGCCGGGGCCGGCGGGGGTGGAATCGGCTGGGAAGCCTCCGTTAGGAAGCTGCGCCTGGGGACCGCCTTCCTTCCACCGACTCTCCCCTGGCCCCTTCGCCCAATTCTTTCTGCCTCCGTCGAGCAAGAAGTTTCAACGGAGGGGAGACCCGGCCTTTGTTCCAGCGACCCCTCGCAGCAAAGCGGCCGCGGGGGACTTCCCGGGGCCTCACAAGGGGCGGAAGAGGCCCCGCGCGAGTCTCTCCCCCCGAACTTTGACGGGTCGTAGCAAAAAGTCCTTGAAATCGGCAGGGAGCAAACACGAGACCCGGGCAGGGAATCTCGAAGGGGCCTCAGAGGTAACCGGCCCAGACAAGCGGGCAGCGGCGTTGCGCTGACACGGTTTTGGCTCGCCGCGGACCGATCAACCTCACCGCTTTGGGGGCCTTCCCTCGCCCCCTCCCAGCCAGCCCCCCACAGCCACAGCTCTGTGTGCCTGGCAGCCCCGCGCAGTTGGACTGTGCCTCTGTGCTTTCACATCCTATTGAAAGTTGTTGGAAATTGAACAGACACTTCCCCGCCTCCTACTCATTTGTTGTTGTTGCAGAATGCATCTTGCGTCGTTGTTTAATGTAATGGTTTTTTCAGCTTTACTTTTTTTAAAAGAAGTTTTGTAGGAAAGCCATTTGCGTGCGTTTCAAGTACCGTTGGCACCTATCTTGCATTTGTGTGTGTGTGTTTGTGTGTCTGTGAGTGCGTGTGGAGGCTCTCTGGCGCGCATTAACGGTCTGAAACGTTAAACCTGGAAGATTTGTAACTGCTAAATGTCAAGGGCAGTTACCGTCATTTTCACCTGTTTGGAAAGGATCCTAGAAATACTCCTTGGCCAGCAGCTTGTGCTGCCTCGTAAACAGATCGCTCCGGCTCAGGACGCGGACCCCGTTAGGAAGCTGCACCAGCGGCGCAGCGTAAAGCTTCCCCGGCTCCGCTCCCCGGGGATGCCCCGCGCGCTCCCAGGGCGCGAGGGCGCAGCCGGCTTCCAGCGTTTTCCTGCCGTCGAGCCTGGCGCCTCCCGCACTGCCTTCCCCTTCGGCCTCTGCTGACTTGTCGAAACCGGGAGCGTTTCGCGCCAGGATAAAAGGCTTTCATTTCCGTGCCTGCAAAGACCGTCTTCCCTTCCTGCCCCTCCCGATTGAAAGGCTCCGGCTGGAAAGCAGGTCGCTCCGAACTTGTCAGGAGAAACGGAGCTCGGACGCTCCTGTCTGGGGAAAGGGAAGCCAATCTGCAGAAGGGACGGTGGGTCTAGGAGTGCGCCCGGCGCGCGGGATGGAAATGACCTGGTGCAGAACTCCTGTCAGGTAGAGAAGGCTTCCTTCCCTTTCAAAGCCTGCCAGATGCAGTGAGCAGGCCAGCGAGGAGCAGGTGGACTTAGTGGCTCTGCTGAAGGCGTTCATGAAGCAGTTAAAGAAAATGCCTGTTGTGTTGGACTTCAGTCCCCACCAGCATGGCCAGAGAGTGAGACCACCCAAGGTGGGGCTACCCCATCCAGGCTAGGAGACCAGGGGAGCTGAAGTCTAACTGATCTGAAGAGCACCCGCTTGGGGAAGGCAGAGCTAAAATCTGGATGGTTGTTCACTTTGAGCAGTTTCAAACCATGCAATATTGGCATCAAGCAATGAACAAGATAATGAGTTGTTTTGTTTAAAAGGTGCTGAAAGCCATCATTCTGAGACGTGTTATTCTTCTGAGGTGGTTTTAAGAACTCTAAACCACCCACACAAACAGTTTCAGCAAGCAAAAGCTGACATCTTCCTGCAGAGTACAGCACAGTTCATTCTTAACTGTGTTTGCAGAGTATTTTGGTTTGTTTTTTCAAGGAGGAAACCAGCAGCAATGAGCTTATATCTATCCCTTTGAAGGGATGATTAAAAAATGGGCATCTTGCAGTCAGGCCAGAAACAAATAGACAGCTTAAGTATCCACAGTAGAGGGTCCATGTAATATAATCTGAGGATCTAGATCCCACAGATCTTCAGGCTGCCATATTTCATGCAGGTTGCAATTGTGAAATCCCTTCAGGTTGCCAACAGCACAGCAAAATACTTAATACTTTCCCTAGAGCCGTAACATTATTTAAAACTCTAATCTAAGTCACCTTTTGTCAAGGTTATTCCCTTACTTTCTACACCTTTGAATGATACCCTAAATCTACTATTTCTGGTAATCACTGCCATAAAGTCAACCAACAAAATAAATAAAGAGGTGAGGAATATCAGCCAAGCCAAAACAATGCTTATTAGCTGTCACAAATAATTATTGTTACATCATTCATAATGGTGACACGATAGCACTATGGATATGCTGGTATGCTGGCTATTGGATATATCTGAACAAAATTTTGACTAACTGGGACTGTAGCTTTGGATACTGATGACAAGAAATGGGCAAAAAGAAAGCCTTTTTTGCTATCTTCAAGATTTGGCCCTGTCTAAAATAGTAGATTAGATGATAATCAGTAGAATCAATTATTGGTTAGTAGTTTAGTTTGATCAACAAATTTTATAGGTTTCTTACCTTACTCCAAGCATGTTTCTGTGGAAGTATTTCAGGAGTTCATAAACATCCAGTATGATTTGGGGTTCATCTTTAGAGGCTACAAAGCATGGCAACATTTAT